GTCTATCTACCATCTCCGGCAATCCAGCTCTGATTAGCCTCAGATAGACCTTTATAATGGCGGGGAAAGTTAAAAAATCGTTAACGCGGAACAACACCATGCCTCCGGTGTCGAGGCGAGTGCTCCGGAGTAACTCGAAGACAGCTCCGACGGACCACTCGCCCATGCCGCCCATGCCACCACGACGGAGTGACCGGGTTGAACATCCCATTCACTCGAGTCGTCTGAATCCACGCCGGCGGTGTAGAGCCAAAGTACAATTCGCTTCTCTTCTTCTAGAATGGCCTTCTCAGAATTCTAAAAATAAGTTACATTTATGAACTTCGACCTTGTCTGAACTGTACTGGCGGTTTGTAATTCAAATTAAGATTGTAATTAAGATTAATATTGAAACGGGGCGCCTGATTGGCTTGATTTATGTATTGGCGGTTATGAATTGTAGTACTTATGTCTATATATTGATTTCAAACGGTTGGATTACTCTTATATCATCTAGAAATAGTTACAGAAGTTTTTATAGGAGACCATACGAATAGGGTAGTTTTCCGTTTATCCAGAATACTATATCTTTTCGTGCATTTTGGAATTGTTGTTTTCGTTCAAATACAGGTATGGAAGACGGAGAACCTTCAAATACAGGCATGGAAGATGGAGAAGCTTCAAATAACCTTTCGGAAAAACTACCAAAACGAGTCCTCGGCGATGGTTGCTACCCCGTTGGTGCTGGGTTGAACATATATTCAAAGGCCAATGTCATTGGCCTCCTTGTCGAGGCGTTAAAGGGTACTGAAGATCTTGAGAAGCTACTTCATTCCCAGTTTGGGAAGTTGTTCCATCTACCTGTTGCAAGATGTTGCAACAGCGCCAAACTTGTCCATGCCCTTCTATCACGACAACTTGTGACCACGAAGAAACACGAGATTTGGTTCCTCTTTGGTGGACAGCCTCTGAGATATTCGATACGGGAGTTCAAGGAAATCACTGGATTGAATTGCAATCCCGAACCTGATAGCACAGAAGAAGAAGACGATGTGGGAAAAACAGGAATCTGGAAAGACCTGTTCGGAAGAGCGAAGGCGATGAACGTGTTTGATGTGCTTGAAATGCTAAAGGACCCGGATCTACCCCGATGGAAACGGCTTCCATTGGCCCTAATCGTTCTTGTCGACGGTGTTCTGTTTTGCAATAGCAAAAATCTGGCCCTCACCGAGAAATACGTTGCGATGCTGACCTTGGATAGGTTCATGCTGTATCCATGGGGGAGGGTATCCTTTAACAAAACAGTATCTCGTTTTCAAGCTCCGAAGGCAATCACAGATGACGAGAAAAGGGAGAATCCTGTAACACGATTGCGCCGTCAGCTTAAACAGAAAACCAGTACATGCTATGGATTCCCTCTATCACTACAACTCATGGCCCTCCAATCTATACCAATGTTGGTTTCCAAAATTCCTCAACCTGATAACTTGAAGACATCCCGAAGGCTGTCAAAACGTTATCACACTGTTGCATCTTGGGGACATACATGCCGTGGAATCCGACCCTCTGGTAAATTATTTGTAGTATTATATTTAGTAGTATTTGTAGTCTTATTTTGTAGTACTTGTCTTAAAAGATAAGTGCTCTGTCATTTTGGTTGGCAATTTTACAATTGTATTTTTTTGTCTTAGTTGTCTGTGAAACAGATGGTACTGGATGATGGTGACAATGACCAACAGAATGAATTGCGTTGGGTAGATGAGGTAGAGGATGCCGAAGTTGCATTCATGCAGGAACTCATGGCCGAGGGGTACAAATTCACACCTTCGGATTTTGCAGTGGCACCGGCCCCTATCGTGGATATTAGTGATGCAGAGGACGAGGTTACCAATGAACAGGAACCTGAGCCATCCACCAGACCGAAGAAGAAACAGAAAACTCATCAAACTGAAAAACGTCCCATGCAGAGGAAGAGAGGCAGGGGCAAGAACTCTTCTAATATATCGGAAGATGAATCCCTTGATAGTGGACCCATTAAAGAGCTTAAAAGATGGATAGTACGTCAGAATACTTTGCTCCTTCGTGACATTAAGACCGAGTTGGACAAGAGATTGGGCGTATACCAAGAGGACGAAGAAGATGACGATGTACACCTGTCAAAAGAAGATGGGGAACAAGATGACGAAGGACAGAATACAAAAAAAGATGGTAAAAAACCGGATGAAGATGAAGACGAAGCCGAAGATGGAGGTGAAGAAGGAGGTTATGATGGGGCACAGTCTAGCGTACGCCATAATGATGGTGTACACCCCGAAGCTGGTGTACACCAGAAAGAAAGAGATGATGAAGAATGGACATTTACTTACTACGGCGGGGACCATTATTCTCCCAGGGACCATGCGTACTTGAAGACTCCAGAAGCTCCGACGATGACCCCTGAACCGGGACAAGCCAATTCAGGAACAACTCGTCCACCTCCTTACTTCGTCATTCCGGATGAAGATCCACCTACTGGCCTCAACGAGGTGAGCTAATTGTTTAGGCAGCAGCTGACTCTATTAAGTTTCATAACGTGGGTGTATTGTGCTATGTTATTTATGACTTATTCAGGTGGATGGTGGTAGAACAAATTTGGTGTCAGGCCCCTTAGTAGTCTACAAACCTCAGACTCCTCACCCATTGAGCTACGCATATAAGAAACATGAAGCGCAGACAGATGCGCAGGATGCAGAGGTCAGACATTAAAGTTGTTCATATGATATGGATGTGTATACAGTAGTGTTTAGGTATACGCTAGGTATACGATTGATATGTTATACTCTTTATTGTTACGGTGGTTTGTAGGCTGTGGCTAATGAGAACGACTCAAATTTGGGGAAAGATTACCATACTGCGCCTGAGGATGCAAGTGATGCTTCGCAGAAGACCTCTTGTACTCCTAAACCCCACAAGAAGTTGAGGGATCGTCTGGTGTGAGGCAAAAAAGTGGAGGAACAGGAAGAGGAGGAAGAGGAAGAGGAACAGGTAGAGGAGGAAGAGGTAGAGGAAAACGCGCACGTGTACGGTCGGACAAGATTCGGGATATTTACACCGCTGATTCAAAGGTGAAAGCTCTATTTGTATCCAGATCGAAAGCTCCGTACAAACCACTCGAAACAGTTGAAGAAGACCACTTCAAGGCATTTCAGGAGTTATTATCGCGTGAAAGAAACATGTAAGTTATATCGTATTGAAAGCAATTTATCCATAAACTTTTATTCTAATCAATTACCAATTGCTCTCATTACAGCGACTTTTGCATTGTCACTGGTCATACTGTGAACAAGCAATTCTTCCTACAAATTGCGAAGCCTACTGAGTGGGTTAACACGATGATAAGTATATTTATGTTTTGTTATTTGTCAGCACATGCAAGTAATAATGGCCATGCTTTGGAGACGTAGAGGTGAAATCTACTTGAAAGACAGGGTAGCATTTGTAGACACCTTGTTCATATCCATCATCGGCAACTACTACAACGATTTCATATCGCGAGACAAAAATCAGTATGACTGGGGGAAAACCATTCAGGGCATTGTATTGGGAAAACCAGCAAAGTGGGCTAATCAGCGGCAGAGGCAAATGTTTCTACGGTTTGTGGACGTTGTATGCGTCCCGATGAGCTGGGGGTCTGAGCATTGGGTGGGCCTTGTAATTAACTTTAAAACGGGCAACATAAAGATTTTGGACTCTTTCATCAGTCATAATGATGAAGCGGCTGTGGAGCAGTATATGGCGCCCGTGTGTCAAAGTATGCCATTTATATTGAAGCGTTATTTGGATAGCAAATTAACGGAAGGCGTACGCACCACCCCTTACACATGGAGTCGTTTGGAGGGCATATATCAGAACAAAAGATCCAGTGACTGTGGGCCATGTGCGGCCAAATTCTTAGAGATGCATGCTGCAGGGCTTGGAGTGGAGGATATGGCTTTGATAACGGACGATGCCGTTGACAGGTTAAGGGAGAAATACGCCATGGACTCATACGAAGAGTTTGTCGGGAATCCGGCTATTTCCAACGCTTAGGACGAATGTTGAAGTTTAATGTTGAACTTGACAATTTATGGAAGGGTTATTTGTTGGATTATGTGTTTGGTAATGTTTAGGATGTGGGTTTATTTGAGAATTTTTATGGTTATACTTTAGGGTTTACTTTAGTATCTATTAAATGGTGTGTCAATTATTTAATTTGGTTACAATAATTGCGCATCCGTACATTGCGCATCCGTACACCTAACAGCGTTTTGTTGTACACCAATATGCATGAAATGGGAGTACATCAAGAAAAATTTGTATTAATTGGTGTGTGAATACTGTGTTCCAGGCGAAATATGTACCTGTACACCAATATCCATTTAGGTGTACATCTACTGGGTGTTTAGGTGTACATCTACTGGGTGTACAAGGAAATTTATGGTTTATGCAATAATTTTACAAACTCATTTACAATCTTAACGGTAACCGCATTTAATGTATACGCTCAATTAGTGGGCTTTTTTATTATTATATATATACAACATAAAGAACCGTTCCGCTTCACAAATCTTAAACCGCAGTTATTCCATCTCCATAAACAACCGTTTTCATCACAATTGAACCTCACAAATTAACTATGGCACCAAAGAGAGGGCGATGTGATGCGGATATATGTGATTGTCAATCCCCTCTGATGGCGCTTCCCGACGAACTATTGGAGAAGGTTCTCGCATACAGTTGCAACTCCGTCCAACAAATTTTCACACTGAAGCAAGTTTGCAAACGGTTCTAAGCCTGCACTTTAACCCAAAATTTTCTGGCATCGGTTGATCCCGTGGAATTGGAGATGCCTATTCCCGAAGATTTCGATATGCCTTTTATCGCGTTTTGGGAATTTCCCAACTTGTTGAGGAGGATGTATGACGCACGCAATCCTGGTTTGTTGTTCATGAAGGGGATGCAAGACTACTTCTGCCGTGGAGACAAAGGTGGCATAAAACTCATCAAGGAATCGGCAGATATGGGATACGAAACAGGTATTTACATGTATGGCATGTACATGAAAGCAGTGGTCGAAGACCCTGTGGGTTTAGAGTATCTTTCAAAACTAAGCAGGGGGGCAATGAGGAGAATAATTCAGAAAATTATTGATGGAGGTGAGCATGGTTATGTTAATTTGCATGATGAGTTTTCGAGGAGGAGATTTGAGACTAATGCTCAGTTTGCCACACTTTGGTCTTGTCGCTGTGGTGTTGCCAATGCTCAACTTGATTGGCATGACGAATTGTTAAAGGGGCCAAGCATGTGCACGTCGTGTTTCTGGGCACAGGAAACGCAAAAGTTCTTCGTATTTGTTTGGTATGCAGCGCGTTCTGGGCCGTCAATGGAAGAATGGTGACTGATTGGTGAAAGACAACCAGTTTCGGTGTGTACACCTGCGTTGTGTACACCTTGGTGTGTACACCTTGGTGTGTAATCGATTAGATTCCATATTTCGTACTTTATGATTTAATCTTTTATTTAGGCCTGTATGTATGTAGGTGTACTTTGTTTTGCTTTCTATCTATGTATACTTTAATTGTGTTGACAATATTTAATTTCGGTGGGTGGTAGTTTCAGTTTTTCGAGAACCATTCTGTTATATCTTTAAAGTCTCAGTTTACCTCTCTTTGTACGTCTAATAACTACAAAAAAAAGAACACCTCAATCTGGACTCAATATGTACACATAAATTTGTACACCTGAATGTTACATTTATCACATATTATATATTTGAGTATACAAACGACATTATCTCTTTTCTGGGTATTTTCGGAGAATATGGATATACAAACGACATTATTTATTAAAAGTCTCACCTTACCTATTTCTGTACGCATATTTTTAAAAATATGCATGATTTCGTCTATGTGGACAATCTGTACTCTATATCTCGGTTTATGTGATGTTGAGAAAACGTCTGTAATGATGACAAGAAATTTAGTTTCCAACAAATAAATAAAGGGCTGGGTTGTCAATGAAATTTCGATATTATCATAAATACTAATAGTATTGTCTCAGATATCATAAATGTATTGTGGTATATCAAAAATTAAATTAAATCATTCGTCAAAAAAGTTTAATGGTGAAATTTGCTTTTATTTGGTAATTCTCTGTATTTATTGTGGTAATTTAATTTTGCCGGTAAACGAAAATACACATTTTCGTCTCTTTTCAACGTCTCTCTTCAAAGACATCTATTCGGCTCTATTAAAACCGCACTACTACCTCTTTAAATTCAATCCCTTCACCATAACTGCCTACTTAGCACCATCATAACTTCTTCTTTCAAAACATTTTCAATCCTTTCTCTTATTTCTCATTACATCTTCTTATTTTTTCTCTTTTCACCGAAATAAACAATGGTTCGAAGGAGAAACAGAGGTGGTGATGGTGATTTTTCCTATCTTCTCTCACTCCTTGATGAATTGCTGGAACAAATTATGGCCGCTACAAACCCAACTATAAGGGAAATAGCCCGCCTCCGTGCTGTTTGTTCTCGTTTCAACCGTATCGGCAGAAGCAGGGGTTTCTATCGAGCCATTGATCCCGCCGAAATCGTGCATGAACCAGCGGCGGTTCCACATTACCCAGCGATGATGAGGAGATTCTATGACGCGGGTAATCCAGGGGTTATTTTCGAGAGGGGGATGCAAGCCTACTTTTTCTTCCACGATGGTGAAGGCATGGATTTGATAAGGGCTGCTGCGGAGGGAGGCTACGACCGAGCCCTTTTTGTGTACGGGATGTGGCTCAGAGCTGTGCCGGAAGACTTCGTCCGTGCAGAGGAGTATTTGGGCAGGCTCACGGTGCAAAACCGGAGGAGGATGAGCCGGTTGTTGCTGGCCGAAGTTCCACACAGATGGAATTTCGATTTGCCAGTGGATTTCGCTGAGAAAGCGGCTGCCTTTCATCCGAGATTCCTTGCGCTGTACACTTGTCAGTGCGGGGTTATAAATTACTGGCTGCAGTGGTTTAGAGAATACTTTAAGCAGCCAAAGTGCACAACCTGTTTCTGGGCCCAAGAGACCCAAAGGTTCTTCCGCTTCATTAGGAACGTCGTTCCAAGCTGGCTGGTCATGCTCGATTGGTGAAAGCCGTAACCTTCGTTTGTCGTTAATTATTTATGTTGTCTTAGTGTTCCGAACTACAACTGATGTTTTTGAAATTGCTTGTCTGCTCTCGTTTTTTAGTACTTATGTTGATTTATGATATTTATTGTACTTATGTTTATTTTATGATATTTATGGTACTTATGTTGATTTTATCATAGCTCTTACCATTTTTTTTAAAAAATGGGGTTTTTTTCATTCAAAATATCTAAGTTAAATTAGGTGGATATCATTTCGTCTAGGGCAGTAATTAATTATGTACACCTATTCACTGTAATTATTTATGTACACCTATTACAGTATACCTATTACAGTCACTGTAATTATTTATGTACACCTAATACAGTATACCTAAAGACGTACACCTACTTACGTCAACGGGATCAGATATAGATTGGAATCATAAAACAGGTTGAAAATAAAGTAACATTACATATTTTAGAAAATAAAGTAACATTACCATTGGTATACGGGTTCGTAAACGTACATCACCGTACACCAACATTGGTGTACGGGTTCGTAAACGTACACCAGCATTGGTATACGGGAGTGTAAACAATTTTTGGACATAAGACTGTTAGACATAAAGCATTTTTGCAAAGCGTTCTGCCGAACATCTAAGATAACAATTTTCACATCTATACGGAATCGTAAACGTACACTAACATTGGTATACGGGTTTTTAAACGTACACCAACATTGGTATACGGGATTGTAAACCCTTTTAGACATAAGGCTGTATTTAAACTTCATATTTATTTTTGAAATAACCACAACATGTAACAATAGCAGATCGATACTAAAGCATTTTTGCAATGCGTTCTGCCGAACATCTAAGATAACAATTTTCACATCTAACAATGTAATGCACATTCTCGTGATACACTTCGCACGACGCAGAGTAGTCTTCATGAATGAGACTAGGGTACCTGAACGTTTTCTCGTATGTATGTTTATTACGTGGGCAAAATGACCAGAATAAATATACTATATCTTCGGCGACTTCAAGAATTTCACGAGAATCATTAGGATAGTGGTACCTGAAAACCATCTTTAGAAGTTTTTTCCCTCTGTTAGGGCGACCCACGCACATTTGCAAAATGGCACAGCTGTAAGTGGCATAGACGTCTGATGGAACGAGCTTATTTAGCATCCTGATGGCGGTATAGATCTTCTCCTCTGTTGACACAAACCTTATAGCTTCGACCAATATGGCCCGTGGATTTTTCGACGCTAAGCAGCGCAGGAATAAAGGCCGATATACTCCACCAGGGTATATCCGAGATGGTGTGTCATGCAATGTCCATAGGTATGCCGATCTGAGTACTTCCGCGCTAAACGCAATGTCTCTACCACGGGTCCCTGCCAGAATAATCGGTCCAAGGTAGATGCAGTCAGACTCAGCAACTTTCTTGACAATGATTTCGAAAATATGATCTGGTAAATCTGGCATTTTTTGGGAATGTTATAGGGTTTGTGTAGGGTGAACTTTCTTCACAATATTATGAAACTATATATTGAATTGGATGGGTAGTTGTAGTTGAGAAACAGTTAATGGTAAGACAATTAGTGTTTATTTGAACAGAAGTAATATTACAATAAGTTTGTGAAGTGATGTTTACCAACTACATAAATTAAAGTAGTAGTTACATTGTTACAACTAGTTAAGTTCTTAGTAGGTACTTGTTACAATAATATCGTCAACTGATGTTCACTTAGTTTCCACCTTAAATTTATTACAAAAATTAAACTACTACTTGCAAATAAAATAACTAAACTAAAGTAAATATCTAATGCGCAGAGCCGTGCATTGTAGAAGGCAATACTCGCAGTCTGGTGTATTTGAGCCATCGTAATGGTCATCTACACACTCCGATATAGGTTCTTCTTGTAGTGTGATGGGGAAGGTCCAAAGGCCACCCCACGGATCTTCAAACGGCCCCAGTGCGAACTCCCATACGTAACGTATAACGGCGAGAGCTAACAGCTTCATTTCATAAGCGGCATAAGGGACGTGGTTAGTGAATACATCGGTGAGGAGTTTTTTAGCCCTTCGTGGACGACCGACACAAATTTCAAACATGGCACATGCGAAAGTAGCATGTTTATCACATGGGACAAGTCGGTTAAGCATTGTAATCGCTGAATACAATTCTTGCTCACTGACGGCAACTCTAATGGCTTCAAAATAAATAGCTCGTGGATTACAGGCGCCAAGACAACGCTCAAAGAATGGGCGGTAAGGGCTCCTAGGGGATACGTCGAGCAGTGTGTCAACCAATCGAGAGATGTCTGCAGAGCGTAACACGTCGTCGGTGAACGCGATGGCTCTTCCACGTTTTCCTGCGCGAATAAAGGGGCCAAGATGATAGGAATCATCCTCAGCTAGTTTCTTTACTATTAACCCTAAAATATCATCGTCTAAGTAGTGCATTGTTGTTTCACTTTGGTGTAAAATAAATTTGATTCCCTTTATTTGTAGACAAGGTGGATAGATATATAAATGTCCTAACTCGTGGTTGGTATACAGATAAGAGCCACTTCAATAACTGCTAATCTGACCCCAACATGTCGCACTACATTATAAATGTAACTACTAGTTTCGGGCATTTTAATAAAAGAGAACTGACCATTCTTCTAAAAAATTGGGGGTACAAAACGGGTAGGTGAAATATTTACTAAAAGGGAGTACACTATTATATTATTTTCAACCGTATAATAAATTCTCCACCCCCCAACCACACACCCGTGAAGTCCATATATGATGATTTTGCTATGTCTTAACACAACTTGCCTCCTTTCCAGCGAAAAGAAACCCTAAACCAAACATAACATACCCTAAAGCGAACATGTCGCTCCCAGACTTGCCTGATGAAATTCTTATCGAAATCCTCAAGAGGCTCGGCAGCAAAGCATTTTGGTGACTCGGACCATTTGTGCGCGCTGGAAAGCGCACCCTCCGGCTTGTTTTCACCGACGATGTCCTCAAAGCTTCCAACATTTATGCCCTTTGCTGTGTCCCCAGCGACATATGCCCTGGAAAGGAAAGACGCCAATTCTTTCTGAAATGTTTGGCGAGTGGAAACGCTGAGGCAAGATACTGGGAAGGCCTGAGACTTGCAACCAGAGGCGCAGATCTCATTGCAAGTAGGACCATGCTGGAACCAAATGTTCCCACCGACGTTCTCTCCACCCTGGCGTCAGCCATGTTCAGCGTTTGCTTGGGTGACCCTTCTTCCGCAAGCCAAACATTGCAACTATTGGCAACGCATCACGGAAGTCTACAGGCAGAGCGCGTGCGACAATTAGGTGAGGAGTTAATTCTTGAGATTTCATATTACGGAATTGGATACATGGATACGTACTCTAACTCATTTTCATATCCAAACGACGAAATCATCAAGCTGCCTGATTGTGCATTTGATCATTTCGAACCTGAGATCCGAGTACTTTGCAATGGTTGCTTCATATATTGGTGTGCTAGGCGTATCTGCGAAATGCTTTAAAATTAAGTTTATGCTGTACACCTTTGAAAGTGTACACTAGTATGTGTACACTATATGAAGTGCACACCTATATTTCCTTTTTAGTATGTAATGAACAATCTTTGAATTAATATTCCATGACTTATATTTCATGAAATCGTTGGACAAAATGCTTCGACAATTTATCAAATCGTAAACATAAAAACCACATTAAAAAGTTAATTTGAATTCATAATCTTTCCAACAAACAAAATAGAGGTCTTATTTTATTCCAAAACATAATACATAATTCAACAAACAGAATTAAAAGTATAATTAAGGAGTTTATGCTCCTCTTGCGTGCTCCACCGTCCACGCAAGTGCAGTGGTTTCAAAAGCAGCCCTGTCTTCCACGTAAATCCTAGCAATTTCTTCAACAAAAAACAGTCCTTCCCCTATTTGGGGGGCAGTTAACATTTGGTGTATTTCCGTCAATACCTGATTACATATACATGTAAACACAGTTAATCCCTTAGTTAAACGGAATTAATATTATATTCCATAAAACACAATAACGATTTATTTCTTTCATATGTAAAAATACATCATTGATGCTGTTGTTGGTCCTGAAGTGAGTTGGGTTCAACATCTATAGAAAAATGTTCCCATAAGTTGTAACGTTTGGGTGATACACTTTTGTTTTGAACATCACCTGAAAAAAATCGGTGTTATTAGTAATTGAAATCTTTATTGACTAAATCCGAAACCCTAAAAAAACAGCAATTTGAGAGAGCAATGATATTGTTCAATCCTTACCCTAGGAGGCGCGAAAGGGTAGTCAAGCGGAAAGTGAATGTCTAGTTTGAAAACACCATTCTCATAGGGTGAACCTTTAGGCCCCGTTATGATAGCTTCCCAGTGATACAAGTCCTCACCCACAGGTCCTAATGAAATCGGCAAAACACTAATTAGGTAGACGATGTAAAAGACCGATCCTGAAAAACTAAAACTAAACTAATCCCCTATTTTCAAATAAACCATGAAATACCTGTACTGAAACATGGACTGTTTTTCCTCTCCACTTCCTTCAATTGCAATGATATCACTTTGGCAGAGTACATTTTTAGAAAGTAAATATTAAGTTTCTGTGTAATTAACTTCTGCTGTTATTACCTTTTTCTGTTGCCGGAAACTTGTTTCAACAAAGAAGAAGGCAGGGGACAGTTTTTATAGAGGACGACAGGAAAAACATTATAAACTAAAGAAGGGAAACGAGTCTGTCAAACGGTGCAACAGGTTTCAAAAAAGGTACTTAATTAGTTTTTGTCGTTTCCAATTTGATTTTTTTGGGTCGCGTTTATTCCTCATACACTGGTTTCATTACAGCAATTTTCAAAATCGTAATGAATTGCTTTTTGAAAAAACCGTTTATTCGAGCTGTCCTATTCAACAATTACAATTCAAAGACAAGATCATTGTCCGTTGTTTATTCGAACCATGTCTTTCATAATGTTTTCTTTCTCTGCTATAGAACCATGTCTTTGATAATTATTTTGAACTATAGAACCATGTCTCTGCTATAATATTTACCATTTCTCAGCTATAGAACCAGAACCATGTCTATGATAATTAGTTTGATACCTAAACCCTACTTCGTAAACCCTAAGCCCTAAACCCTAAACCCTAAACATAACCCATAACGTCCATACACCTAAATTTATATCCGTCACCATATAAATGTAAACTTATAAATAAGCCATAATGAAAATACACTATATGATGTAAACTGATTGATGTTGTCCACCATCATAGTGTACACCAACTGTGTCCACCGTCAAGGGTGTACACCCTTGACCAGTAAACATCATCATTTTCATACCAAATTTAACATAGTTCATGCCTTTCGAAGTTTAAATATAGGGAAACATAGTGTACGCTAGAAACAAACCCGAAAAACAAAGCGAGATCACAGTGTCCACAAACTGTGTCCACCGACATGGGTGTACACAGTGTGTACACCCTGTCCATGTAAACATCATAAATTTCATAACAAATATAACATAGTTCATGCCTTTCCAAGTTTAAATAGAGGGAAACATAGTGTACGCTAGAAACAAACCCGAAAAACAAAGCAACATCCCCACAAAAAAAGCAACTTGAGCCACACAAAAGACACACCCGGTCAACCCAATGGTTCCTTGCATTTTGCCCGGTTATGGCCGGGATTTCCACATCTCGAGCATTTGTTTGGCTTCTTTTTTTCGCAACCTGCAACAGCGTATATCAGTAATCAGTAATCAGTAATCAGTAATCAGTAGGACTAGGAAAAAATTTATAGTTTAGTGTACACTAACCTGAGGATACTCTCCTGCTGAAAGTTTTCTCTTCGTCGTAGGCCTTCCTGATGGACGTTTTGCCTTAGGTGGCATAATATTAAGGTCACGCACCTCTGCTGGGATATGAATGTCGTCAGGGTCAGGCACTGGTAGGATTTTTCCAGAAACAGTTGCACTCCAAATTGATTTCTTAAGAATTGGATCAACCAAACTGCTGTACTCCACTTGCCGAAGCCTAGCCGCGGACATCGCATGTCGGCAAGGGTATTTCAATGTCTGAAACTCTAGAAATGAGCATGTTTTGTTTAGGAGATCAACAAGCCGCCGTACACCGAACTCTGAACTCACTTCAACCTCCCACAAAGAAATGCCTTGAACCGATAGTGCAGCAGATTTTTCCTGCTGAAGGTTCATTAACTTGTCAACTTCTTCTGTGACGTCACCATCCATCTTTTGAATTTTCTCTCTTCTGCATTCAAGCCACCTACTTAACATTCGCCTGATAAATTCTAGCATTGCAACGATTGGACTGTCTCTTGCAGCGAATAGTGCATTGTTCAGAGACTCTGCAATGTTACTGGATGTCATATTATACCTCTGAACAGAAAAGTGTGATCTAGTCCACAGCGCAAGAGGGATTTTTTCCATGTACTCCCAACAACCATAATCAACATCCTTCAGCCTTGCGTATAGTTTCTTGAAATTAGAAACTGTGAACGCTTCTCCAGCCTTTCCGACCAACCCTTTCTGACCGGAACCTTTGTATTTACCGTGAACATTTCTCTGGATATGGACAAGACATGCACCGTGGTGTGACTGTGGATACCATTTCTTTTTAGCTTTGGCAATTCCACCGTGCCTATCCGAGATAAAAGTAAGATCAGAGGAATCTGGAATAATTTCTAACAACTTCTCAAAGAACCACCTCCACGTCTTGTCAGACTCTGCATCGACAACGGCGAACGCTATTGGAAATACCTGGTAATTAGAATCTTGTCCACTCGCAGTTAATAGACAACCCTTATACTTACCAGTCAGGTGAGTTCCATCAACAACAACTACTTGTTTCAAATGTTTCCATCCAGATATACACGCAGCCAATGCCATAAATACGTACTTAAACCTGGTAATACTTGTTCCATCTTTTTCATCTCTCTCGCTCTCGGTTATCAAATGCGTTATGGTGCCGGGGTTAGCATACTTGAGCACATGGAGGTAAATCGGTAATAATTTGATAGAAGTCTCCTCTGTTCCGTGAGCAGAGTATATAGCCAGCTCCTTAGCTTTCCAGCATTTCCAGTACGAGGCTGTAATATTATATTCGGAGAGAACAATCGCAAGTAGCTGACTCGCACGTGGCCCAACTATTGCATTCTCATACTTAGAATTCAGCAGAACCGCCATGACTTTAGAAGTAACATGTTTAGAATATTTCTTTCTTGTATCCGGGTGGCATGTATGCTTCAAACACGCCTTCCTCACCTCATACAACGCCGAGTCGCCAACTTGACCCCCCAACACTCTCCAATCACAAATCTTTGATGGACATTCGGCGACTGTGTACTTCTTCGCATGCTTTTTGAAATTGAACGTCACTATATTCTTCAGCGCATTGATGGCCAACGTAATTTTAAAGTGTTCCTTGTTCCTGAACTTTTTTCCAACCCATATCTCTCCATCTTCATTTTGACAAATCAAGTTCATCGAAATCCCCTGCCATTTCATCAGAGACTGGTGCCACATCCGGAAATCCATATAGTTCTGTACGTTTAATCGCTTTCTTCAGCTCTGCACCGCCATTCTAACGCCCCCAACTGACATCACCTGTCGGATCTGCACAAAATCGTCATCATCTCCATGGGGAACCAGAACATTCTCACATACAGTCCTCTTTCTTCCAGGAAAATGAATAGGACTCTCCGTTAAGACAATAGAGTTGTCCATATGGTTTGAATCACTCGGCTCACTTCCGCGAGTACTACCACAACCCCCTGAACTACCACAGTCATACTTATCCTCATCAACTCCAGGTTTAGAATGGAAACCCTTACCATCTGCTAGTACGTAATCATTCCACCAGTCAAAATCATAATCCGGATCATCATCATCATTAGGTCCGTATTCTGCATTGTCAACATCATCAGCTTCCTTCTCTTCCGAATCTCTCGCCTCATCTGATTCCTGGGACATTTTTATTTCCAACTCTGGGTGGTCAACAGAGAGAGCGTGACTTGGAACATCCGGTTTGACATTAACGGAGCTGTTAGTGCTGGCCTTAGCCTCTACTTTCTCTGATTCCTGAGACATTTTTAATCCCATTGGAGGATGGATTACAGAGACAGCTTCAGGTTGTACACCTTTGGAGGTGTTCATTGCGGCCTCTGCCTCTACTTTCTCGGCATGTGCTATCAGCAAACAATCATCGATATCTTCATCATCTGCTTCCTCATCGGGTTGTCTTGACTCAGCCAAAGAAGAGGCAATGAAATTTGTTGGTCTTAAGGACTTTCGCCGTTCCCTCGCAATTTGAACTTCAAGACTGTCCTTCCGTTTCAATCTCACCATTTCACCATTTACTGACTCCTTGAATGTGACAAATAAATTCACAGACTTGTCAGACTTATGCAGCGAAAGGAAGAATTTGTACTCTCGAGGAGTAACTATTACACATGGACAACTCCCATCACCATTAAGCTCAGCTAGAACATCATCAAACCAGTAGGAAATCTCCACCGAAACAGCTCTCGTGTCTAATCCGAACTCATGCGCAATCAGATTTCTCAAATCATCTGGTCCGGACACATCTTTGCAATTTATGCACCTTCCACGCCGAGATATGTCCATTTTGAAATCCCATTCTCCTGTATAGTACCTTATCCACGTTCCCGCCATAACAAGAATGAACGCATCCACTGCAATTCGCGAACACCATATCTATATAACTACTAGAAAATCGCGAACACCAGACCAAAAAAATACGAAAATAACAATGACAAATCTATGGGTGTACAATCATAGGATTAAGTAACTAACTGTGGTTGTTGTCCTCTTGATCTTCGCATAATTTCCCTTTCAATTTCAACATCTTCTGGAAAGGGAAACTAGGGTTTCTAATTTGGTTAGAGTATTTTGTTTCTTATTTTTACCAATTTATCTCCATTATCTCTAATTAACTACACTTTTCCCGCCAAAATTAAAAAGATACTGCAAAGGGTAGTTTATTGTGTAATTAGTTGGGTAGTTTCCGGCCCATAACCGAGGCCCATAAAGGTGGTTTTTGGGAATTTCATTCCCAAATTCGAAATTAGGCCCAAAAAACGACCCAATCACGCGCGTGAGTGCTCTCTTCCCGCCTGTTACGCGCCCGGACGTAGACTTCGCCTGGGACCCACGGTATTTTCTGTGTCTGTCTCTCTCTAAGGAACAGACTACACTGTCTCTCTCTCTCTCTCAGAAAAAAGGGTAAGCTTGCCAGAAAATATGTCCCTACCCCGACCAATTAAAACTTAAAACTACCTATTTCTCAAATTAAAACTTAAAAATGTCCTTATTTTCAAAACAACTCTAAATTTAAAAGGTTATGGTTCTTTGCTTATTATTGTTTTTTAAAACTTAGTTACTCTGAACCGTGTAATTAATTGGCTTTTACGAATAAGGTTCAGACTACTTTGAAATGGATTAGTGGAGTTGTAGGTATTCGATGGTCTAGTGATCTTTGCATTAGGATAATCTTATCTCGTCCATGTCATGAAAGCAGAGGGTTTAGTAATGCATACATATTACTTAGTAATGACTTAGGATCATTCAATTTACAAAAAGGAAGAAAAAATTCCGGTAAAAATTAGTCAAGAATTAGCAAATATAAACTTGATATAATGAAAAAAAAAATGTAGAGATGGTTCGTGGTAAATGCAAACTTGATGATGTAAGAAATTGATTCTTATTACATATATAAGATGTATAAAAAAGTTACCAAACTTGATGATGTAAGAAAACAAAATTGATAAATAATATGACAGTTTCTTCTGTAACACACAAAAAATATATCATCAGCGTAACATACCTAAACAATAAGATTAAAAAATTGATTAGGGTTGATCAATTTTCAACACTCGATTCTCACAGCTCCACTCTCAGAGGAAACGAACTTAGGTTTTCTAATGACTGGCTCCATGCACTGAATCACATCTCCGACTTCAAAGTCATTCCAATCTCCCATCACAAGCCCACAGTCGTTCCCTTTCCCGACCTGTTCCACGTCTTGTTTCTCACGTTTCAGCGACGCACACGAGCCTTCAAAGACCACTTCACCGCTCCGCAAAAGCCTCATCAGCCCGCTTCTACATACCCGACCATCCATCACTTTGCAACCCGCAATGCTCACTCCATCTTCTTCGCTTCTTTTCTTTCCTAAGATCTTGAAAATGCTAAGTACCTCGGCCTCACCAGCCACCTCCAGCTCCGATACTCCCGGTGCTTTCTCTACTATCAAGTTCCCGATGTCTTCGAGCAAATGGTATATCACACGGTGATGGAATACCTAAGAGATTATCACCCATTGGTTACAATATTAGTGTGAAAGCAAAACGCAAAACTTGGCGTTTGAAGCCATATGATACCTTGACGCTGGCTTGAGCCGCGGAAAGATTAACAGAGTTTCCCCCCTTGACGTTAAACCCAACAATACACGCACCGCAAGCTTGTGCCTTGTCTAAATCAGATTGAGAAATTGCTCCCACTCCGCTATATACAATGTTCACAAAAACCTATCCAAAAAAAAAATCAACAACAATCAACAAACACAGAGAGTCAATAAGCAACAACCAAAACAGATAGGTTTTACTTTAACGCACCTGTGGGCTATTTAATGTTCTTAGCGCATCAGAAACAGCCTGTGCCGTTCCTTGCACGTCAGATTTCACTATTATCGGTAACTCAACCCTAACAAACCCTTCTCCAGACTCTGTTTCTGCTGTCTCTGCTTCCGCTAATCTCGCTTCCTCTGCTTTCAACAACCGATCTTTCTCATATTTCCTTTTCCTCCCTTCGCTCAGCATTTTCGCACGTTCCTCTGATTCCACCACAATGACGTCGTCACCAGCCATCGGAAGACCCTTAAGCCCTTCAATCTCGACAGGCAGCGCAGGTGTTGCTCGGTCCGTTAGCTTACCAATCATGTCCCTGATACCTCTTAGTCTTCCCCACTGAGACCCAATGACTACGTGATTACCGCTCAGTAAAGTCCCGGCCTTTACGATAATGGTGGCCAACGGTCCACGGCCTTTGTCGAGCCGAGCCTCCACCACATATGCTTGAGCTGGTCCGTCCACTCTTGCTTTAAGGTCCATATCCACGGCTTGGAGAAGCAGAGCTTCTTCTAGTTTGTCTAGCCCTGTGCTCTTCATTGCAGAAACCTCAACAACCTGAACGTTTCCTCCAATATCCTCAAGCTCGATCCCCTCAGCTGCGAGCTGTTGCTTAACTCTTTCCGGATTAGCTCCTGGTTTATCGCATTTGTTAATCGCAACCACAATCGGAACATTCGCCGACCTGGCGTGCGCAATAGCTTCCAGAGTCTGCGGCATTACCCCATCATCTGCAGCAACTACCAATACGACTATATCAGTCACAGCAGCTCCACGAGCACGCATCTCACTGAAAGCAGCGTGTCCCGGCGTGTCGAGGAAGGTGATTGAAGTGCCGGAATCCGGCATGCCAACGACGAATGCACCCACGTGCTGAGTGATTCCACCGGCTTCTCTAGCTGCCACAGATGTGTTTCTTAGAGCGTCAAGCAAAGAGGTTTTTCCATGGTCGACATGGCCCATTACTGTTACAACCGGAGGCCGTGGGAGGATTTCTGATCCTTCTGTGGTATGTTGCCTCCTAACATTGATCCCGATTTCCTGCAGAGGATGAGAAAGCAAAAACAGAGGTACATTAAATATTCTATCTTGATAAAAAAATCCGAACAAAAAAGAGCCCTTTTAGAAACTAAAAAATCTCAAATTGGCTAAAATGGTTATGCCTTTTAGATATTTAAAAACTGAAACCAAATCTTGAACTCCTTTGAAACCAAAGATGTATCCGAAAGCCAAAACCAAACCCAAACTGTACTATACAAGATTATTTTTACTTAGGTTACTATTATTCAGAAAGAGAATTCAACCGACGTCGACAACATTGTTGACCAGCAAAATCCATTATCTTGGAAGTTGGAACTAGAGGTAGAATCACCTTACCATTGCAAGGAGCTCGGCTTCATCGACACTGATTGTGTCGAATTCCGAACTAACGGATTCCCCAACGTTGACGAGAATGCTCTGCAGAACCGCCACTGGCTCACCAGTACGCTTGGAAAGCTCGAGTAATGTCATGCCTTCAAATATGTCGACTGTCTTCTCAGGCAAACCCTTTGCCAATCTTTTCAGCCTAGGAGGCACATAAGGAGCTTCAACGGGTGGCGTATCCAGTTTTTTCTCCCGTTTCGAGAACTTTCCTTTGGTTTTCACAGTCTGTTTCTTGCGTTCACGATGACTCAGTGGACGATCAGGATCCTCTTTTCTTCTTGCCAATGTTTCTCGGCTTGCATGAAAATACCTGTTAAACGAATAGCTCAACACAGGCCAGTGAACATTTATAAGAGAGGAAGATGGAAAACTCTAGGAAAATGGTTTACCTTACGGATGTTTCGGTTGAGAAAGATTCACGACTAGAAGACCAATTTGATAGAGAGCTAAAACAGAAGCCTAAGCAAGAATAAGAAGGGTGAGAAAAAGGTTTGTTTTTTCTCAGTTTCTAACAAGGTGTCAATGTTAGGAGACAATTCGCAACCAACTGTGAGTGAACACCTTTTTTACGCTTACCATTTATATACCGAGCGAATGAAAAAGAGACACTTTCGGAAGCGCTTCTCAAAACCGCCGAGGAAATCTGCCTCTCTGTAGATGATGCTACTCGTGGAAGAACCAAACCTCTTTTAAAAGAGGCTTGAATGCCCTGTAAATACGTTAAGTTACTTGAGGCATCCGTAAACATATGTGAAATACTAATAAACATGAGACCGAAATGCTGATACGTATGGAAAAAAATTCGAAGAATGTGCAATTACTCACCTTACCAAACAAACTAGATAAAAATGCAGACTAATTATATATTACTAAATGAAACAAATGATTCATAATATTTTGATATTTCACTTCCATTTCCCAACAATAAATGAAATACAAACAGCTTAGACAATGAAATCAATAAATAACAATTCAAATTCATCCATGGATAGATATATACTCGTGCGTCTAATCACATTCATTCAAATGCAGATTTGTTTTACCAATCACTAGGAACAACAATGGCAAGCTAAAGGCCTAACAGCAATTTACAGAGAGAAACAGCATAAAAACCAAGTATCCAACATCCTTAGAAACCAAAACACCAAACATGAATACGACATTTTCAATGGAGATAACAAGAATTGTTCGATAGCTTGACCACTAAAACTATGCAACAATTAAGCAAATGCCAAGTAAGAAAAAGGAAATTGAAGCTAAAGCTAAAAGCCTTTCGCTCAAATTCCTCAAGAGAAATTGGGAAGTTTGATGAAATTCACTAAAGAAGAGAGGCATAGAGAGAGTACGAAAAGTACCTTCTTGCCTAAGTGCCTTAACGCCATTCATACGTCAATGAGTCTCTGCATTGAAACAGCAACCAAAAAAAAAACTCAAATTTGATAATCCTATAAACTTCCATTAGGTCATTTACTAACAAAAACCAAATTTATCAGTTAAAAGAAAGAACTTGAGAGAATCAAACGCATGTCCTAACTGATTCTTCTCGACCCAAAACCTACAGCAAAAATCTTAAGTTACACAATTTATAACTAGATTCTTCGTTAAATGTTCGAGATGGTAAGGTTTCCTGTAAATCTTTTCAATTGGTTTTTTTTCTTAAACATGGAGATACAGATTCCCTGGGTCAGAGTCAGATAGCACCAGAGATCAACAACGATTGACTCAAGTAAAAACATTCCTTGAAGAAAAGTGAGAAGCATAACTAATGAAGCATATCGATTTTGGGATAGATAAGCAGCAACTTCGTGTGGGCAAATAAACGAACACCTTGCGTGCATACAAACTCAAACGAACAAATGAATATACACATCAAATTAAGCGAATATATATATCTGATAAGATCCAACAGGGATCTTACCTTAATCGAACAGAAAGGGGAGAAGTTCAGAGGAAGAGTTAAAGGGAGAGAAGAGAAATTAGAGAGAAAGAAGGTTCTGGAATTAATCCAATTTCATATGATCGTAATCGATAAGGCTTTACAACGACAAAAGGAGACTAAATACACAAGCATAGAAAACAATGGCATAAATGGTAAATAAGCTGAGATAATAAAAGACTTGGGCTTCTATCTTCTCTTTAAATCCGCAGGCCTAATAATAATCCAAGGTCTCCAGTGTTTGGGTCATAACAATACCGCCCCCTAAAAAGACTCACCTTGTCCTCAAGGTGATAATCTACAACTCCTTCGAACAGATCTCTCCTCCTATCAAGCTCAAGAGACATACACCACTCCATAACTCCAATGGGTTCTGCATAACTCATTTTCTTTGAGACGTATATGGCTTTAACTGATGTTCCCTTCTTTGCCTTCTGCCATAACGTCTTCGGGAATAAGAGCCTGATATACCATGGAGTGCATACTACCGTAAAGGAAAGAAGTCAAAGGGAGAAGAAGCAAAGTCAACTACTTGCTGAGCTGGCAGTTTGTTAGAGATATTTTTAGATAAAAGTCTCAAGAGTCAATGTGAGCCCTTGTTATATAAAAGGGAGTAGTCAAATTAGTTGGATTTCATCGGGAGTTTGTTAGAGAAGTCTGGGCTTGTTCTCTGATTTGTGGAGTTCAAGAGGAATTTGCCTTTCAAGTTCATACGCTTGGGGTGTGTAATTCTGATTTCTAATCAATAAAGAGTGAATTTCTTATCAAATTGGTGCGTCGTGAGCGCTCTGGATCTGAACGATCGCGAATTGGTGAAGAATGAAGCAGTCGAAATAAACGTCGGAACCAGAACCTTCGACGAAGGAAGCCATGGCTCTTGAAGCCTTAGCGACGACGGTGATGAAGCACAAAACTCAACAAATTGAAAGCGAGACGGAGACGCGAGAGATGATTAAGGAGCTAGCGTCACAAGTCGATTCACGATTCTCAGAAATCATGGATTATTTGAGAGGTGATTCAGCTGCTTCACCGGAGGTGCGTGAATACACGAATCCAAATCACGGGAAACAGACGCCTCAGGTACGTTTTCCAAACTTGGAACCAGGCCTTAATTCCAGATCTAATGATGGTAGACCTCGGAATTTAGTCATGAGTAGTCGCGAAAGCATGATGCGACGAGCTGAACTTCCGATCTTCAATGGCGAAGATTCGTATGGTTGGATTGCTTTAGCTGAGAGATTTTTCAGGATTGGGGGTTATACTGAAGAAGACAAGCTGAATACAGTTTCTATAAGTTTGGTGGGGGATGTTTTGAGCTGGTTTAACAGTGAAACACATCGGAAACCTTTTGAGGATTGGAAAGACTTTAAGAATCGGTTGTTTGCACGGTTCAGTAAAGAGAAATTGCGTGATCCGAGCCAACCATTCTTCAATATCACACAGACGGGTACAGTGGCAGAGTACATACACCTGTTTGAAGATCTTTCTCCTCAGGTAGCAGGATTGACAGATAAACAGAAAGAAGGGATATTCATGAATGGATTAACTCCAGACATGAGAGAAGTGGTAAATGTGTGTAAACCAGTGGATCTTCCAGAGATGATATCTTCGGCTTACCAAATGGAGAATAGTTTTTTGCATATGGTGGTGAAGAAAGAAATGCAACAAGCTAACAGATCCTTGGTTCACCAGGTGAACAAATCTTACTCTAGTCAATCAGTGCCACCATGGAAGATGAAACAGTTAACAGCAAATACGGCGTCAAACAATACCAAACTATCCAACACCAGACCGCAGCTCAGACTAACAGAAGCACAAATTGCAGAAAAGAAGAGATTGGGATTATGTTTTAAATGTGATGAGAAATGGTCTAAGGTGCATCGCTGCTCAAATCAGACGTTGCAAGTGTTAACGGTGGTAAATGGATTCGAAATGGAGATATTGGACCAGAATCTGATTGAGATAGAGGATGAATACATGGTGGAAGAACCCGAGCTAATGGAATTATCCTTAAACTCATTTTTAGGGATAAAATCTCCAACGACAACCAAGCTTAAGGGTACAGTCAAGAAAAGTACAGTGGTGGTAATGTTGGACAGTGGAGCAACCCATAATTTCATCACACCAGACCTCATTAAACGAGCTCACCTTAAAACAGTACAACACCCTCAACTGGAGATTTTGTTGGGTACAGGGGTGTCAGTTCAAGGTACCGGAGTTTGCAAAGATGTGCAACTGATGTTACAAGGGTTGACATTCAAGGTAGATTTCATTGTGTTGGAACTCGGTAGTGCTGATATAATATTGGGTGTTCAATGGCTGAGAACACTTGGCAAATGTCAGATCGATTGGGAGACACATGAGTTCTCATTTTTGTATCAAGGACGCCAAGTTACTCTCGTGGGGGATCCATCTCTACATTCCACAAATCTGACATTGAAACATTTGCAACCGGACTTTGCGGCTCACAAACAAGGAGTTATGTTGAATTTGCTGACAACTCCAACATCGCAACGCAAAGAACAAGTGATATCAGCACCCATCGCAGAGGTTTTGGCAAAATATGAACATGTTTTCAGATACCCACGGGTTTACCACCTTTGAGAGGCAGGGAACATGTCATTAACCTCCATCCGGGAATGGGTCCAATCAGCGTAAGACCTTATAGGTATCCGCATGCCCATAAAGAAGCAATGGAAAAACTGGTAAAAGAAATGTTGGATGGTGGGTTGATTCGACCAAGCCGTAGTCCGTACTCAAGCCCGGTTTTATTGGTTAAAAAGAAGGATAACTCCTGGCGTTTCTGCGTTGATTACAGGGCACTGAACCGAGCTACGATACCGGACAAGTACCCTATTCCTATGATAGATCAACTTCTGGATGAGTTGCACGGTGCGAAGCTATTTTCGAAGTTGGATTTAAGATCTGGCTATCACCAAATCAGGATGGAAGAGAAGGACATCGAAAAGACAGCTTTTCGAACTCACGACAGTCACTATGAGTTTCTAGTGATGCCATTTGGGCTAACTAATGCACCGGCAACATTCCAAGCTCTGATGAATGAGGTGTTTAAGGAGTTTCTGCGTAAATTTGTGTTAATATTTTTCGATGATATTCTCATCTATAGTTCGAATATCTCGGAACATAGCAAACACTTGGAAATGGTTTTGCAAGTCTTTGAGGATCAGCACTTATTTGCTAACAAAAAGAAGTGTTCCTTTGGGGAAGAATCAGTAGAGTATCTCGGCCATATTATATCATCGAAAGGAGTAGCAACAGATCCTCAAAAGATTGCTGCAGTGGAAAAATGGCCGACACCAAGAACAGTAAAGGAACTTAGAGGATTTCTGGGTTTGACAGGCTATTACAGACGATTTGTACACCACTATGGATTGTTAGCAAAACCTCTAACGGAACTCCTAAAAAAAGATCAGTTCGAGTGGTCCAGTGATGCACAGAATGCTTTTGATAACCTGAAACAAGCAATGATCTCTACTCCAGTGCTCGCATTACCAGATTTTACTCAAGTCTTTGTGGTAGAATCCGATGCTTCAGGGTATGGGTTGGGCGCAGTGTTGATGCAAGGGAAGCACCCAATTGCTTACTTCAGTCATGGCCTATCTGAGAGAGAACAGCTCAAACCTATCTATGAAAGAGAGTTAATGGCCATAGTTTTGGCGATTCAAAAGTGGAGGCACTATTTGATGGGCAGAAGATTTGTGGTAAGGACTGATCAACAGAGTCTTAAGTACCTATTGGAGCAGAGGGAGGTTACTTTAGACTACCAACGATGGCTTACAAGGATTATGGGATATGACTTTGACATTGAATATAAAGTGGGGAGTGAGAACAAGGTGGCTGATGGGTTATCTAGAATAATTCCATCCACAACAACATTGTTATATTCCATAACGATTCCTTCAAGCCTACAGCTTCAGGATTTGTTAAAAGAGATAGACGAAGATGAAGAGATACAAGAGTTAATTCGTAAGCTGACAGTGGGTGAATCAGTTAAGGCAGGATACTCTATTAATGATGGAAGGTTATTTTACAACAGGAAACTGGTTTTACCGCAACAATCACGTCATATTCCTATGCTGTTAAAGGAGTACCATGACAGTGTATTGGGTGGTCACGGAGGAGTTTTAAAAACATTGATGCGTCTTCGGTCTATGTTCTATTGGAGGAAAATGAGAGCAACTATACAGAAGTATGTGTCGGAATGCTCAGTTTGTCAGGCCAATAAATATTCAACACTCTCACCGGCGGGATTACTCCAACCAATCGAACCTCCAAAACAGATATGGGAAGATCTCTCCATGGATTTCATTGAAGGGCTTCCGAAATCACATAGCATCAATGTCATCCTGGTAGTAGTTGATCGGCTGAGCAAGTATAGTCACTTCATTGGTCTTAAGCACCCCTTTACAGCTTTCGACGTGGCTCAAAAATTTGTTCAGGAAATCATTCGACTTCATGGGTACCCTCGTTCTATAATCTCCGATCGTGACAAAATCTTTCTCAGCAACTTCTGGAAAGAGTGCTTTAAAGCATCTGGAACCAAGCTTCGGTTTAGCACGGCATTCCATCCTCAGTCGGACGGTCAAACTGAGGTGTTAAACAGATGTCTTGAGACCTATCTTCGTTGCTTTGCTTCGCAACAACCTAAGTCGTGGGCAAAATATCTGGCTTGGGCAGAATTGTGGTACAATACATCATTCCACACGTCCACGCAGTGTACTCCATTTCAGCTCGTTTATGGAAGAGAACCTCCAGCATTATTGTCATATGAAGAAGGGTCAACAAGTAACTTTGAATTAGAGACAATGTTGAAGGAACGTGATGCGATGTTGTCAATGGTTAAGCAGAATCTATTAAGGGCACAGAGCATTATGAAAAATAACGCAGATAAGCAC